TTACCCCCCCACAAAAAACTGTTATTAACCCTTGCAGTAGGGCTACCCCCCCCCAAACTGTTATTAACCCCTGCAGTAGGGCTACCCCAAGAAAAACTGCTCATAACCCCCCCTGCAAGGATTGCTTGTTTTTGTGTAGGTGCTTAAAAAAAGAAAAAAGTTATACTCACCTGAACTGTGGTCCTTCCAGCCTCTCTCATCCTCTGCAGTAGTCTAAGGCCTTGTTCACACCAAATGTAGAGCAGATCCGCTCAGGTTTCTGCACACGCAGTGCAGTGGGTTGTGCCGCGTTTTTGATGCGTTCCGGGCCGTTTTTTTTTTTTAGATTAACATGGGCTTTCAGTGCAATCCAGGCATTTGCATGTGTTTTTGATGCGTTCCATCCATGGATCTGCTCTGCAACTGCACGCTACAATGTGAACTGGAGCTAAAAATACCATTGGAATACATTGGAGGCAGTTTTGCTCCGGTCTGCTCCGCGCTTGGTGTGAACTAGCCCTAAGGTCCCATAAATCATCACGTTCCATACACAGTGTATAGACGTGAGGACGCTGAGAAACACTCCAATGTTGCAGCATTGGAGGAGACATACTTCAGTGACTGGACAGTGAAAGGAGAAGCACAGTGATGAGCTCATCTTGTCACTCTGCTTTCTCCTCGTATAAGGAAACAAAAGGAAAGAGGAAGCGCCACATCCAAATGTGAACAGGTGGGTATGATCGCCAGTGGGCGATGTTTCCTCATACCCACCAGTTCACGTTTGGATGTGGCGCTTCCTCTTTCCTTTTGTTTCCTTACATACACATGTCGGACACACCGGGCTGTACAAGTGAGAAGCTGCACACCTAACCACAGAGACCCTTGCCTCCCCCCTGGTGAGCGCTGTAACTTCGTCCTTACAACTCTGCACACTGTACCATGGGACAACTCACCTAATTTTTCATGCTTTCTCCCCCTATCAGCATGCTTCGTGTCTGTCCATTTCATGATTAGCTCCTTGTACTGCTTCTTCCTCTGACACTCCAGCCCTGCTGTACAGAGACTGCAAGAGGCCGATACCAAGTCAAAATCAGGTACTTACACAACTTGCAAGTAAAAACAAAAAAAATGTCATGGCCAAAAATTAGCTTAAAAAAGTGCAGCTTGTTTCCTTCTTTGTAATGTTTTTGTGTTTTATGTAATAAAAGTTCAGTCTCTGAGAGTCCATTCCCACAAAAGTAGGGCTGCGGAAATTAACGATTAATCCCTCGATTAATCGTAAATTTTTTAGATCGATCAAAATTATTTTGATCGATCAAAGTTCTTTTGATCCGTACTCACCTCTCCGCCGGCTTCTGGGTCTTCCGTCGATGTCCGTGACGTCACTTGACTCCTCCCCCTTCCATTTGTTACCCAATGGACCGGTGAGTACACATCCTAACTCTCCCGGCCGCCTGGGATAGAAACACTTTTTACCGGAAAGGTTTAATCTGCTCAATCGAGCAGATTAAACCTTTCCCTGCGATCGTTTTTTATTTTCTGACATCAGGAGCCACGGCCTGACCGTCAGTCATAAAAGAAAAGGCATACAATTGCATAGCTAGATTCCTATTGGCTATTGCACTTTGCAATAGCCAATAGCAAACTAGCTAATGCACCCGCCCACTGCTGCTGTCAATCAGCAGAGGGGGACCTGAATTTTTCTATCAGGTCCTCTTCTGGTGATTGAAAGCAGCAGGGGGCGGGTGCAATAGCTAGTTTGCTATAGGCTATTGCAAAGTGAAATAGCCAATAGGAATCTAGCTATGCATTCTTATGCCTTTTTTTTTTAAATTCTTACAACTGCAACTGGCAGAATACTAAAAAAAAAATAAAAAAATAAAAGCTGCAAAATTTTACATGCAAATAATGACATACAATTCTTTTGTTTATTGTGTTGAGCTCAAAAGGCATAAAACAATTTCACATCCGACTTTCCAAAAACTACAGACCACATTTTTAAAAACTTTCACTGGTGTGCAGTTTCAAACTCTAGATGAATGCCCAGGAATGGCAGTAGGGCAATTCCATATAATGCCGAAGACTCCTGTTTATTAGTATAATCCTACCATTGGAACTAATAAAAAAATATGTAAAATATGCCAAAATAATTAAAATAGAAATTGTACAGCATATAAGCGAAAAGCAAGGGGCTGATTTCTCCAGTTTGGCGGCCAACTGGAAATGATGGTCCATATGAAACACAATGGTATTAGGTCTTTAAGGACCCGTCAATAATAATTGTCTACAAGGTGGCTATGGGACAGCTTTTACACATGATTGAGGTCTATGTAGTTCAGTACATCTAATGTCTGATGAGTGGAAGTGTTATAAGAAATCAGCAGTTGTCGATCTTTCTTGAAGATATGACTTCCGCTGTTGGAGAGTCATTGCTTTGGGCAACGCAGTTTTTTTCCCAGCCAAAATATGGTTGCCAATGCTTTGTATCCAAACACCCAAATCTGGATGAAAGGAGTCAGCTGGGTCCTGGCCTACAGGTTTTGCACTTTTGTTGGCAATACTCAGCAGGCAACATTACGCTTATTTAAAGTGGGCCTGAACTCCGAAAGAATTTGCGATCTTAAAGGAAATGTCTAGAAGTGTGAGTTGTGCCTCAGCTACCCTGATTTACTTTGTCTTTAATTCCTCTTACTTTGTCTTGAATTCCTTCTGAAGAACATCAGAACTCTTTGGTGCCTAGGCTGTCATAGCTGTACAGTATATCTGCAGTGTGAGATATTCTAAAGCACCGCTGCCTCTCAGTGCTAATCTCATGAGATTTGGTGACATCACTCCTGTTCTGCTTACAGTTCTCCTTGCAGGAGAGGAAGTTATACCCAAGCACCTGCAGTGCAAGGATCTCTCTGCTTCATTCATTCTGTGGATTTGTGCTTTCTGCATCTCCTGCTGCTTCTTGAATATTATCCCAACTGTCAGCAGGGAGGTAGCTTTGACACAAGGAAGCAAATCCCTGCCTCTACCAAAATAGCTGTTTCCACACAGGCAATCTGTAGATTCAGATGTGGTAAGTCAGTATTGGGGAAAAGATACGATGCAGGCAATACCGATGACTAGTCCTTCACCCATTTGCTTTCCTTTTTTGTGCACAATTTCCATATTTCAAGTCCTCTCGAGCAAGAAAGGTTTTTTTTTTTCCTTCTGTGTCGCTCTAAGGATATTTCCCTTAATTTCCCATACCATAGACACAACAGGAAATCCCCAAATACGGTGGAACCGATGCCTGCATTTAAAGATTTTCTCTTTAATTCTGGTAAAAACTAACAAGTTTAAATTTTCCACTCAATGGTCACCAGAACAAAGAGAGATGCTGAATCTCCCCAGCAGAGCCACAGGCCCACAGGGGGAACGTGTAAAGCTGGTAAATGCTTCAACCCACCATTGTCTTTTCATATACAAAAAAAAAATCTATTTTGCTGGAGGGAAATGTAAAAAAACATCTTTAGCAAACATAAACATGTGAAATATTAAAACAGAGATTTCTTATTGGTCTAACTAGCATGACGTTGCTAAAAACTGATTGGCTTATAATGATTTACAATACATGCTGCTAAATACTGCAAGCTATATCATTTTGTACGATTATAAAATACCTTTCTGATTAATGGACTAAAAAAAAACAACAACTATGTATAGGGAACTTGTCAGATATTTTAGGGTGCAAGGTGCCTGCTACTACCCTTGTTATCCAGAAAAGACTCTTCTTTATGCCCCTCTGATCTCACTTTGTCACTAGCACATCAACTTACCTGACTATGCCCCTACCAGGGGCCCCTTGACTCCTTGTCCCCCCCTAACTGACTAAAGTGTATTGATTAGCCATGGGAGGGGGTGCAGAGGACTTGGGGAGGCTGTGGCAGTTAGCCAAGGTCTCGCTATGGGAGGGTCCTTAGCCCCAAAGTTTGATAACATAACACAAGAGACTTACCACAGGACTAAACTAAAAATAACTTTCTTTTTTTTAAATAGGTATTCTTATCCTGTTAGCTTTGTGTATTGAGCCTGCAGTCTGAAGAGGCCCTTTAAAGTTTAAAATGGCTGGCAGGTTTGCTTAAAAAAGAAAATCGGACTAAAGTTATCTAATAATTGTAATACTGACAACTAAGTTTCAAAAGTTTTCCAGACAATGATCAGGCATCCCGTCCCTTTCCACTGCCCCCTGCAAACCAAAAGACCCCTAACTTTCTGCTGCTTGATATGTTTGGCAAACAGTCAAGTCCTTTCAATATTGGAAGTTGGACCACCTATTGTGTTAAGTCTACACCTGCATTGCCAGCTTTGCTCTTATGCCACGGCCATTACAAGGTTGTCTCACTCCTGCTACTTGCTTCCCTTCTTTATATCAATCAGGGTACTGCAGGCGGAATGAGACTCCTTTACATGGCTTTCAAATAACTGTAAATGTGAGAAAATCTGGTGGGGATTTTTGTGCTTGGGATCCTGAGAGAACAAAAGGTGCCTAGGGGTCATCCAAGCAGCTGGCATCTATACCACAAAATCCTTTAGCCATTTAAAAGTACTTGCCACCTGAGAAGAATTTAATAAAAGAAAAACCGTGTTCTCTGCCAATATCCCTGTCACCTATGTAGAGTGAAAGCGGCCCTTTTGTCACGACAGCCAATGTCCATGAGATAGCAGCCTCATCTTTACATAGACCTTACTGGCCTCATGACTGCTTCAGTTCCATGCTTATGAGTATCAGCCCAGGTTACAAAATGGCTGATGAAAGGTTCATCAGTTTATTGGTTCCAATGAAAAAGAACAGGTTCATGTCATAAAATGACTGCCTTACTATCTGTAGATGACAGGTGCACTTTAAAACTATATTTGATTAAATGAATCATTCCTTAGCCCAGCTTTAATAGATTTACATCAAATGTCATTGGGTCAGGTGTTTTGTCACACGACAGATGCATATAGCAACACGTGGCTCAGTTGGTCACTACTTGCACAGCACTAGCTGGGGAGATAAAACATTTGTCTTTTCTTATAAAGAGTATTTTACCAATGACATTAAAAAACACACACATTGAGATTCCTAAGAAGTCTGGAGATGTCACGTGCCGTACAATCACATCAGCTGAACCCAAGTCCAAGTCCTTTTGGTCTCTGTAGAGCTCGTATAGGCTCTGAAATACCCTTTCCATCCGGCCCCAGTCCCGTGCCGGGGGTCCAGCCCATACTCTGAAGCATTCGGTTTCCAATGTTACTGTCAGGGATAGGTTGACCGCTTTCGCCTATAAAACCTGAAAAGATAAACAGTAGCATGAGAAAATCCTTATATTAGAACAATAGTCTTTAAATAAAAGTTGTGCAAACATAATTCAGCCAAAGCCACAGACACAGGATGTTTGGGCCCTAAAATAGCCTGGAGAGAGTAGAAAAGCTCACACCCCAAATGTACATTATTACTGTTGCCCATTTTTACATATTGCAGACTTATTACGCAGTGCTTTACAGATAACATTGAACAATTCACATCAGCACCAGAAGAAAATGTTGACATAGGTACCAGATAATGTAAAAACAAACAATGGCTAAGGGCTCATTCACACGGTGCACATCCAGACATACAGTGTAAAATATGTCTGTATTTGCGGCAACTGGCAGCTCCAGCTGCTGCATTTTCCCGTGCAAACAATTCTATGTTGTACGGAAGTATATGCAAAAAATCCCACGTTTGGGAACATGTGCCCATGAGCTTGTAAATGGAGGTACCGGCATTTCCATGCCTATATCCGCATACATCATTTTCGGTCCAAACAATCCTGCGGACAGAAAATCACAGTAGCTGGGGCTCCTGAGCTCCCCAAATACAGGTGTCATTTACAATGTAGGTCTATACCTCTGTATTTGTGACTGTGTGCATGAGAACTAAATGTCATAAACCCTACTAAATGACTTCTCAAACAAACAAGCTGAAGTGAAATAATCCAAGTCATTGAGACCAGTGGAAGATACATACATAAGAAGCCTCCTACTCTAAGAACACCATACCACCACGTCTCCTTTCTTCGCCCTCTTTACTGTCAACATAACGAAGGACGATTCATCAACAGAACACACAAGATAACATGAAATAACAAAAGCAACTTTAAAGAGCTCCAGTAACTTACAGAGACATGGCACCACAAGAACGCTCGGTGCAAAGTATGATAAATATCCTGTAGACCCTGTTTAGGATGGTGCTCATGACAGCATTACAGGCTACTTTACATGAAAATGAGAGATCATTCATTTCTGCTCAACAGCTGTCAGGACAGGTAGAGTCTATTTAAACAGCGCGGCAGCATTCAGTGCCATACCCTCCATTTTACTGGGACTGCCATGAATTAATTCAATTCCATCTGTAATCTAAAATCAGATCAGAGGTCTAACGCTGCTTGAGGGTAAACATCTGTTTAATCATTTTTCGACACAACAGCTTGCAAATATGCTGATTTCAAATGTTGCTTAATGTTTAAGAAGCGCTATATTCCTAGTATGAAGAGAGAAAGCAAAAATGACGCACTGAAAATCCATCTCTAGGATCAGCAAAACACATTCTAGTGTATACAGGGGCTGATCTCTGCTTATGCTTTTGCCTGAGGAAGGGGATCCTCTGTGACCCCGAAATCTTCGTTGCTATGCGCTATACTGCACGTCAATAAATAGACGTTTGCTTATCATTTTGGAGTGCCGGTGTCTCTGTCTCTAACTGATCTCTGCTTAGAGCACGACAATCTATGGTGTTTTGTGTTACACTATATGGCTAAGAGTTCTACTGTATGCAGCCCCCCCTCCCACCAGACAAGATTCATCCTATCTGCGTACCAGTACGGACACCTGCACAGATGTGCAGTTCGGGTAATCGTACGTCAGCGTAGTCCCATAGAGAAGAACAGTCTGCTGCATGTAAATCACACGCAGCACTTGTTCTTCCCGGGACCGGCCCAATACGGTCGAGCATGGATCTGTAAGGGCCGGCTGTTACTTGTGTGACTGAGGGCTTAGTCTCTGTTATCTTTATTGCACTCTGTCGGCTACTGAAGAAATACCAGATTTAATCTATGACGGCAGTGCCAGAATGATGTGACAAACCAAAAACTTAAAGTGACACTAAACTCAGGAATGACATCTTAAAAATACATTCAAGCACCTCCTGTGATGTACTACAATCTCAATATTAATTGGTAAACTAAATGTGAGATTGTAGTTCATGACGGGAGTGAGCTTGGAGCGGTGACTACTTTACAACACACACAGGGACCAGGGGGAACAAAAAGTAGCCACCCTCCGGAAGGAAGGACAGTGTCAGCACCAATTCAGAGATGATTTGAGGATCTACAGCTGAGTGATACACAAATAAGGGGCAGTTTTGTTAATAGTTAATGTACTTGAATGCATTTTTAAGATTTACCTCCTGAGTTTAGTGTCACTTTAAAGTTATTTTGAAAATGTCAAATGGATGCTACAGAAAACTGTAACATAGTGAGGTTTTCCCTCAGCAGCAAAATAATAAAATTAGATACTAGAAATATTATAGTATTATTTAAAAGTGATACTACCGGGCTTCGATAATATGACGATACAAAGCACAATCATGACTGGCAAAGTGCAATACCTCACAGTAGCTAACCACTTTTCACTCTAAACAATTACTGCCGTTTTCGATGGGTTACTGCAGTTTGAAAACTGCACTTTTAAAAAATGAAATAAGTCAATAAACGCGTAAGAAAATAGAAGTGGATGTACATGCATACTAGAATGCATTTCACCAGGCTAAGCTACACATAAACCCCAGGATCAGCAAGGGTGCTTTATGTAATTCACCCAAAAGTGATGGCTGAAAATAGGATTTCTCAGAATCCTGTATCTGACATATGAAAAGGCACCGAGCGATCTGAGCTTCCAGCATAGCAAGGAGCGCTGAGGATGGTAATTTGTTTGCGTAATTGGCTCAAGAGATGAAAATCTTGTATCAGTCTCTCTTAGCCGCTAATCTATCCAGCTGACTGCAAGCCTATTTGGCAGCTTGTTTAGTAATTTGGCTCCTAAAGTGGTTCTATTGATGTTGGATAAACAGCCAATAGAAGGGTAGGTAATACTCGCTGTTTATCTTTTACACATGTGACTGTTTTATGTGGTTTCTTTAATGTGTGAAGTGTATCTCTGTGTGTTTACAGTATTAAATATGGAAGCTTGTGGCTACTGGGACCCTCCTACCTTATGATTTAGTAGTAAGCATAATGTAGTGAGGACTAGGTTGTGGGAAAGTTCAAATAACCATCAATGGTGATAGACATAATGATCCTGATTTCAAGAATGCCTGTGTCTTGGGCCATCTCTGGACCTCTGATGGTCAGAATTTATCATAGAGAGATTAAAAAAAAAAATCCAGTGAATGGGTCCAGTCCTTGATGAAACATGCCACTCGCCACATGAAGACAGGCAAATATCTCCTTGCCTGCTATTTGTGGGGGCAATAAATGCTCATCTGTGTCCAGCCTTGGGTGTAGCAGTTATGACTGTTATTCTAGGATGTGAGATAGTCCTACAGACAATGGGAAGGCAACAGAGTCTTGCCGTTCACTTTCGAAGCTTGTTGCCATCTTTCTTTATATTTTAGCTGTGTGTCTGTGATCAACTTTAAAGTAGAACTGTGACCATATGTGGGTTATATTGCCACCTGCAGGATGATTTGGACACTGGCAAACAAAAAAAATAAAAAAACCCAGCATGCCTCAGTTTAATAACAAAGCAGTGCTGAAAGTAAAACTGTAAACACAAAGGTGTGGAACCTGTTTCCATCAATAAAGGCGAAGAAAAAGATTTTAAGGTAAGTACAAAAATCCGGTTTCCTTTTTCATTCATTGAGGGACACCGGATTCAAAGACACTTAGGATGTCCAAAAGCATTCCAACTGAGGGGTGGTCAATACAGCAAAGAAAAGGCTAACATGCACAACGATAAACAAACTGGTGATTGGTCGCCAGGGGCTCAAAACTGCCTATATGACTTTATGCCGCAAAGCCTAAGAAGCACTCACAGATCTAGTAGAGTGCACCTTGACGGGAAAGTGTGTCACCTGCCGAAAATAAATACAACTCTGATAGTGAGTGCGGAAAGGAGATTATTCCTGGTACTAATAGATTTATAAGGTACTGAAAGAAGCCTTAAATCAAATCCCACCAGTGACACAGGTGTTAATCAAAGAATGAGTGGCTAGTGATCTTTGGAACAAGATCGCAACAGTATTTCCAGGGATGAAGTGAAACATGCCTTACATGTGAGCTGGTAGATGAGAAATGGACTTCTGTGATTTCAACATCGTGGGGGTCACTGGGCTGGGAAAGGTAATTAAAGATAGTGACCATGAAGCAGAATGGCAAACCAGCCCTTGGAACAGGCGAGATAATGGTTCTGCAGGGGGAAGGTGTTGAGGTATGCCAATGTCCTCTGTTGCCAGAATCATTAATTAACATTGTATTATGGCCCATAAAATCCTGCTCAACTGTGGTGAAACCCAAGATGGGGCCACACCGAATGCAGCCTAGGAAGACTCAAGGAATTTCCAGACTCAAGCTCAAAACAACGTTCCAGGCTGGAAGTGCCAGGTCCTTGAGAGGGAACACTGCATGCCACCCTGGAACGATTAGTGGATTGCGACCAGGAGAGACCTGAGTCAGCAGGACAGCTCCTCTTATGTTTGTGATCTGACATTATGCACCACAAGGGAAACAAGTTAGCTGTGTATACCAGGAAAAAGACCTTGGTACTCACTAACTGCCTGCAGAGAATGAGTGAGGTGACCAGGTGACTATAGACAGCAGAATGGACCCTGACTTCAAATAAATATAGTAACTTCTAATGCTCAGCCCACAACGCCTACTCAAAAATGAAGCTTCAGAAACTGGGTCAAACCAGAGGCTGTTTCATGGCTCTGGACCTTGAAAGTGCTCTGTGCCTAACTAATGCAGAGGTCTGGAAAGAGCCACAAGCAGAGCCCAGTGGCTGAAGATTACATTCTGGGCAGTCCCGGCAAGTGTCCAGTCCAGTGTGGTCAGTGTACGGCCTCAAAAGCTGTTGCTGGGGATACGTGGATCCATAAGATGCAGGCTCAAGCAATGTGTAAATCAAGGATTGACTAAAGAAAAAAAAAAGGGTGGTAAAGGCTTAGTAAAAGAAAAGATGTCCACCCTCCCAGGACATAAGCGGAAAAATGAAGCTTACTCGGAGGAGTGGGAGGGGGAAAGTTATACCAGAC